AGAGGGCGATAGCCATGGGCATGTTTTATTTTAGAAGCAACATGTGGTGCTTTTGCTGTGTTTTCAAATAATCTGCACTTTTCATTCCATGCACAAGCTGTCATAGTGTTATTGTGTTTCAAGTTAGTCCTTTTTGGTGGTTCCAACAAACGGGCTCCAATGAGGGTTTTTTATTAATATCACATGGAAAAATCTCCCTAAAGAACCATAGCTTTCTAAATGCTACCATAATTCCTGTGGTTACTCCTATGAAGGGCTGCTAACCAAAGTTTTGGGGTGCTGGTGTATCTTGAGAGAGAAGATGTCTTGGGTCTTCCACTGATTTAGAGAGAGAGCGATTTTTCAAGTTTTAGGAGTTTCTAATGTAGCAGAGAGAGAGAGAGAGAGAGTTGATGAAAAGGAAAAGTCAAGATATAAGATAATCTTGATAACATCTATTCACTTTGTAAAAATACTTCTTTAATTCTTACCTCATGTTTGGAAAGAGAAAAGAATAATCAGTTACCTCATGAGACTATTCTCTTCTATAAAATGCACAAATTTGAGGTTGCTTTTTCTCTATTAGAAGTTATTGCTTTCTCTCTCTATAATGATTGGCCAATTCACTTATGTAGAATCATTCACTCTCTCTATAAACCTGTAGTAGGTGTTTTCACCCCTCTTCCTCCCCCTCTCTCTCTAGACTTCACCTAACTCTCTCTCTAACGCTGTACTAGGTGTTTTCACCCCTCTTCCTCCCTCTCTCTCTAGGTGAAGTGCTCACTCTCTCACTAGAGCCCCACCTAGCATGAAATCACTCTCATGCTTCTTCCCATCCAAACAAAGAGGTGAATTCACATACAAGCAAATGGCAGATTGGTGGTTGCATCCTTATTTAATAACATTCCTTTAATATACTTTTTGGACACAGGAAGAGAGAGAAAGAAATAGTATCTTACTCTAGAGGGTAAAATTCAGGGTATGTTTGAGAGAGAGAGAATGAGAGGGATTCAGTCTAAGTAGAGAGGGGTATCTTACCTTAGGGAGAGGGTAAAATTTAGGGGTAGTGAAGAGAGAGAGGATAGACTTTTAGGAGAGAGAGAGAGGATCTTACTTTTAGGGTGGGACTTTAGATAGAGTGTGTGAGTTTTTTTTTTTTTCTAAATACATTTGGGTAGGGTTTTAGGAAATAAAATCTCAACGTTAGGGGCATTGTTTTTCTTTGCCCTAACCCTAAAATTCGTAATCTCTCTTTCTCTCTCTAAAATAATAACAAAAGGCAGTCTTTATCTTTAACCACGGATCACAACCAGAGTCTGAGACCAATCAAAACACAGAGCCTAAACTGACAAACCCTAAAAAAAATGCCCAAAAATCTAGAGAAATGGTTAAATGAAAAAAACCAGGGATTGTAGAATCAGAGATGAGGTAAAAAACGAAAAAAAAAAAAAAAAAAGGAGGTATTTTTTTACATGTTTTTTTGAAATTTGTGAACCACATAATTCCAAACCCCCACAAACAAACCACTAATCCCATTTTTAAACAAACACCAAAACTTCCCACCAATTCAAGGTCCGCCAACCAATAATTTATCCTCTAGGATAAGCCCCTCTCTCTCTCTCTC